TACTTCTGGCCCAGGGGATGCAGCAATCCCTGAAGCCGGCACAGGACCTAGTGCAGAGCTGGGAGGAGGCAGGTAAATGGGAGAGATGTTCTTCCTAAACAGGGTGTTTTTTGATCTGTACGGTGGGATAGATGCAGGTACTCATCTTTTGCTAATTGAGTGCTGCTTTTCACTGGTTTTGGATGCTTGAGTAGACGCTCCGCCACTTGGTCTCTCCCAGTGTGGAAAACACATCCCGAGCACCGCTGCTTGCCTTACCACACATGCCCGACGATCCGGCCTGCAGGGTGCTAGTTCCCGCCAGGTCAGGTCTGGCAGCTCCTCACTGCTTCTGAACTGGCTTTCCCTTCCCCTGCCATTCAGCCTGATTCCTCAACTTTGCCTTTGATGTTCAGGGCTCCTAGATTGTCATATATAATCAATTCACTTGGCGTTTTTTGGGTCTTTGTTGTAAGAGGGACCACAGGAAGCATCTGACTACTCTATCATCTTGGCCTCGCCCCTCTAGGCTATAATCTTTACAGGAACAGACCGCCAGGTCTTTATCCCACAGAGCTACTGGGTGGGTTTGAACCACCAGCCTTTTTGTTAGCAGCTGAGCACTTAACCATTGCACCACCAGGTATCCTTCTGATTGAAGGCAGTGGGGCCTAAAAGAATAGCTGAAATATGTCAATAGAATACTAATGTCAGATATGCCTCTCAAAAGGACAATACAAAGCAAATTCTAATCCTTAATTTAAGTCTAGTGATGGTAAGGATCTTTTGTTAAACGTCCATACCATACTGTCCTAATGTGTACCCAGTGGAATAGTGCAAGCTGTGTTTGGTTTTTGTGAACTTAATTATTAATAGCTTATTTTAAGAACTGCAGTACAAATATTTATTCTGGGTTTGGTACAGCACTTTTATTTGAATTGCACTCCTCTTTTGCACATTTCTGATTTTGTCAGGAAAAATTTAAAACAGCAAAATCAAACTTTATTCTTAATGCAGGTGGGGTTACTTCGCCAGAAATTGGACAGTCTGGAAAAATGTAACTTAGCAATGACTCAGAATTATGAAGGACAACTTCAGACACTAAAAGCTCAAGTAAGGAAACTTCTTACAATTTAATACCACAAATTTTGAAGTGTGCTATTGACCTATAAATTGCATAAACTTTATTTAAATGATTGTTTTTAACGCAAGTAAAATTTTTTGTTATTTTAGTTACAGATTACATGTTTGACCACTTCCTTCATTGTTTTAGATATAATGATTTTTGTCTCTTTTACTGGATTGTAAACTTTGTATCCCTTCTGTATACCTTTAACTTTTAGCATAATGCTAGATTACTAACTCTCTGTCCTCTCAAGAGACCTGTGGTTAATTAAATGATAATTTCTATATGAAAAAAATACAAAAAACAATTATCTTTTGGGGTCATCACTCCCTAATAAGGATGTCCTTTTATCTATGACAATTTAAAATATGAAAGTTTGCTATTATGAAATAGATAATTGAAAGAATAAAACTGGTCTTTATTACCTTGATACTTCTAGGGCTGTTTCAGAAATGATGAAGTGTTTCTGAATATGTGACGAAAGGGATACTAATTTCTTTCTTATTTATGCCTATACCTCCCCACTGGGCTGGCAAGCAAAAAGTCTGTCCCTTACCACTGCACATGGAGCAGTAATCATCTAAGCATCTGAGACTTATTAGATATTATAACTTTGCTTAACCTAGTAAATGAATCAATGGGAAATATGGTTTATTACTGTACTGAGTTGAGTATTGTTGTTGTTGTTAGGTACTGTTGAGTTGGTTCCTACTCATGAGCAGGTTCTTGGGCACAATTAAGTGTTCTGGAATTTCCATTCTTTGCGGTGTTATCCATAATTTGTTGTGATCCACATAGTTGAATGCATTTGCATAGTCACTAAAACAGAGCTAAACATCTTTCTGGTATTCTCTGCTTTCAGCCAAGATCCATCTGACATCAGTAATGATATCCCTCATTTCACGTCCTCTTCTGAATCTGGCTTGACTTTCTGGTGGTTCCCTATCGATATACTTCTGCAATTGTCTTTGAATGATCTTCAACAAAATTTTACCTGTGTGTGATATTAATGAGTTTGTTCAATAATTCCTGCATTCCATTGGATCACCTTTGTTTGGAATGGGTACGTATATGGATCTCTTCCAGTCGGTTGACCAGGTAGCTGTCTTCCAAATTT